AAAAAAAAAAAAAAAAGGAAGCACTTGAGAAGTTGATTCTATTTATTTTAGTTTTTTTAAATTATTTATCAAACTAAAATCAAAACTAGATTTAGCCCAAAAATTCTTGCATGTTTTTAAAGTAGTTGGTAGCAATAAAAAAAGAAAGCTGAGATTTGGAAAGAAATAATTGACAGACAAAAACAGTGACAACATCTTCGAAAATCTAAAAAGATTTTTAGCTTTTAGAAGTAAAATTTGAAAAAAAAGCAACCATAAAAGATGGTTTTTGTTTATAATTGTGTTAGAAACTATTTTGAATGTCGTCAGTGCTTTTTGTCAGACCACTGGCAGCTACACACGTTTTCCTTATCAATAAGTACATTAATGTTTTTTTTTCCAGTATTTATGACCAGAATTTCTTTCATCTATAAGTATACATCAGCGATAATCTGAAGAAATACAGATAGATTTTTGGGTTAAGAATGGTTACAAGAAATTGGTGGCGTAAATTCTCAGGCCAGTCAACAGCTAAACCTAATTAGTTGGTTACTTAACATAATGTATTATAACTTATATTACCCTGACATCAATAAAACTGGGATGTTGTTTTGGTGCAGTAGTTTTCAACTTCTAGCATTCTTCTGTCTAATTTTAAGACACAACAGTTTACAGTAGGAAATTTACAGGCCAGATTTTCATAATCAACTGTACTTTTACTTTACACTAATCGACACGGTGACCTGTACAGTATTTCCATCAATTATAATGTTTATTGTCAATTCAATTGCAATATATCGGTATCGTCAATGTATGAAGCTGTATACATCTGGAGCTATTAAAGTACGCTTTGAGAACAACGAAAATGATGTTACTGCTGCGGTAAGTAAAAAATCTTAAAAAATTTTTTGCCTTCAATAAGCACTTTTTAAACTTACCCAAGCAAAATTGAAAAATCAGACCTAATTACAATTCCTGTTAGAAGAAGAAAAACAGGGAGAAAGCTAAAAATAGAAAATTCCAAGATAATTATAATTTATAATTTGACAACGTGCCAAGAAGCCAAATTTTTTTTCTTTTGAACTGTTTGTTTTGAAATTTAAATGAGAAGAAAAACGTCACACTGATCTTTGCACTTACCAATAAACCATCTATCAACTATAAAACCAGCAAATAATCAAACACAGTAATCGTATTTGTTTTGTTTTACTGTCTTTTTTCTTCTTCAGTTACCGAGGAATAATTTTTTGACATAATGACAAAAAAAAGAAGTGTCAAAATTTTTTCATTCTTCAATCAAAACATTTCTTCTTCTTAATATTATGTCAGAATTATATGCGTCTTATACGAAAAAAAGAAAAAAATGGTTTTAATAACTTTTGGAAAATTTTAAAAAGAAAATTTTGAAGCAAATAAATGATGTTAAATTGTTTACAGAATAATACAACACGACGAACGTTGATTAGCAGAAAAATTCATACACGTAACAGCGTACAACGGAAAGCAAATAACAAATGTAAAGTGCGATACTCTGATCTTCGTCTAAGTTTTTCTGTAATTGTGGCAACCAGGTAACTTACGGAATAAATTTAATAAAGAACAAATTTGAACATTTTAACAATATTAACATTCTAATTTTGAACAAATATTTTCACAAATTTTTTGGTAAAATATATATGTCATAAAACTGAAAGTGCCCTTAATAGTCAAAAAAGTCTTGTTTTATATTGAATTACGTTACTTTACTTATTGACTGTGTTTAACAGTCTAAGTTTTCAACAACTTATTAGCGATGATTAAATTCTACAAAGGTTTTCTATAAAAGTTTTACTAAGCAAAGAGCAGAAAACAAAGTAAACTTTTTGTCAACTGAATTTTGTAAAACTGACTTATCGTCTAGCAATTAGTGTAGCTGTCTGTACGCTGCATAGGGTTAAGACATTTAAACCAGGTTTAATATTAGCATTATCATCAATAAACTAAGAAATAAAAAATAAATAACAGAACTATGTAAATTAGCTTAGAGTTTTATACTTATTACACAAGGAACACTTAGAACGTTTTTTTCCGTGTTTTGCAGCACATTCGTTTGCCTAAATTTTCCCAGTTACTGTTTTCGGATATATATCTTTTGGTTTGAACCACGATCACCATACATCTATTTTGCATCATTTCTCACCTATTTACTCTACTATCTACACCATGCTATTCTGGCTTATATTTACATATTCTGGAGGTAAAGTCTTGCAGTCTATTTTTTTTATCCATAGAAATCACATGAAGTTAGTTAGATGTTTACTTCCACTGTGCCTATGTATCTTCTATGCACAGTAATGACATTTTTTTCAGTCCCCATATGAAGAAACAAATGAAACCGGCAGCATTAAGGCTACTGGAATGTTACTGCTTTAAGTCGGCTGTAGAACGTGACATGGAAATGGTGATGTATCAATCCTACTAAAATTTGATTAACCAAATTCATAGGATTTCTTGCCATCTTTTATTTTGATTTTTTCTCCTTTCTCTTTTTTGCTTGTCAATAATTTTGGTCGTTTGCTGTTACAAAAAATGCTTTGAACACATTGAATTTGGTTTTTTGTGGGCAACTGCAAAACGTTCCTACCTCAGACAATTAGACCATTAGACTGCTTACTATTTTCTATAACTGATTATCTGCTGTGCATTATAACAATTTATTGATAGCACAAGTTAATTAACATTGTCTTTTTCAGTCCTCTTCTGCTATTTTACTGTTTTTGTTCTTGTTTCAAATTTATCGTTCAACAGTGGTGAATATTAGATTTGTTTAGAGTGTTTAAAAACCATTGCATTTTTTTTGCTTCTTTTTTTTTGTAGAGCCCAAATTCAGTGTGTTGTTATTGCTTGTTGAGGGCATAAGTTGTTCAGGAACAAAGATACAAACTATGAAGATCTCATCTGTTGTAGAATCATTGTCAATTATTTTCTGCTCAATTTATTCCAATTTTTTTGTTTTGTTTTACGGGGTTCCTTTTTTAATAAATGATGTGCTCGCCAATAACGACTGTAACAAGCATCAGATCATGCTGGAAAAGATTTTTTAGTGAGAATAGAGCTTTTAGAACAAGAAAGAATGATCAGCTTTCCTTTTCAGATTTTTCTTAACAACTTGCATTACTCATCATAAAAAGTTGTCACATTACATAATGCTGAAGAGATTTACTTCTAAACAACCAAAGTTCTCAGTTTTTGAATAGCATATCTTAAAATAATGCTTTTTGTAACTGATTAGGTTTTGAACGAGGTAACAGGTTTTGCTTCAAAATTGCAACCTTATTCTGAGTCGAATAAAAATGAAAAACGATTTTTTAGTCAAATAGTTCTAGCACTAATTGAGCCTATTTTTTGCTTCTTAAACCGTAGCGGGTAAGCCGTCTAACACAGAGACAGGTCATTTTCGACATACAGACATCCGGACACATATAACGTCATCACAGACACACAGCTATACTTAATTGTTGGCAGCGTATGCGTAAATTACGTATGTCTGTTTATGCTTAGTAAGTCATTTTACTTGAGCTTATCAAGGTGTAGAAAAACAAAAACCGATTAAGCTGTAAAATTTAACGTTTGTTTACCTTGATTTGCCCTAAAGATTAAAAATAAGAAAATAAAACTGCTAAGGAGGTCTTTTGAAAACGAAAAAAAGCACTGGAAAACACCAGCATGAAATTGCTAGACTTACTAAGATTTATCAACTTATTGGACATTAAGAATAATGTTAAATGATTATGAAAGAAAGAGAAAAGAAATGAGAAGAAGAAAGAGTATATCATCATGTTTTCTTGATTTATCACACTTGCTATGTGATCCTCTATGAAAAAAAAAGTGCACTACGATAATTCAGTAAAAATTTACCAGATGAAATCAAGGGTGTTAGAATAAAAATTATTGTCACTTGTTTAATAACATTTTCAGTGGCTTCTTTCATATTTATATACACGGTGTCATCATCATTTCGACAGCGTTTTTTCCGGCCTCCAGGTCGCTATGGTGACTGTGATGAACTTATCTGGCTTACAACTTTTTTGCTTCAACTTATATATTGAATAGATAGATTTTTATTTTGCTTTTTTCTGCAACACTACCAAAACTGAAAAAGATAAAAAGGTAATATATTTAGTTAGTTATTTTTGCGATCAAAAAATGCTTATTGTTGGCGACAGTTACGGATATTACCAACTTGTACTACGAAAACATGCTTGCCGGTTAGTTATTCAGTCTTTTTTGACTGCTAATACTTTTAAATAATGAACTATTTCTCACTTCCTTATTTTATTAACTTTTAATATTAGTGTTAAAATTTTGGGACTGTGTTCTTTTTGTTTGTGTTAAGGTTACGCTACATTCTTCATCAGCTTAATAGTGGACGTATACCGTTAGAAGACTTGAAGCAGAACATCGAATATGCAGCTATGTTACTGGAAACCACTTATATGGAGGATACACGGTTTCAAATTTTTTGCAACATTTTAGCTCCTGTTAATTATATTTGCTCTTTTCTTTCTTAAACGTGATTTTATAGTACTTTGTAGCTTCAAATTGACAAGATGTAACTTCTAAAAACAGTAATAGCAATGTTAAGGCTTTGTTCAGTCAAGAGTGCACACCTTTAACAAAAAAAGCGTCTTTTCTTTTGCTTTTGGCGACACACTAAATCTTAAATGTGCCAAAAGTGAGAGCAACTTTTTCTTTAATAAAATTATAATTTTTAGAAGAGTTTAGCAATCCGAAAAAAAACTGGCTTTTACAACGATTGCTATTTTATAGCATCTTAACGCTACCCATTAAGAAGCGTAACAGCAAATATAATAAGAGAATTTTTGCAGACGAATATGTGATGAAGATGATGAACTTTCTGAAGTTGGAGCATCTGAAACAGTATCTGAAGAAGTACGAGAATGGCTAGCCTCAACTTTCACTCGTCAATATGCACGTCCAAAACGTGAAAAGCCCAAATTCAAAACTGTTGCTAATGCAATTCGTACTGGAATCTTTTTTGAAAAGTATCGCAGCTTTTTATGTTATACATTTCAAAATGGCATTAAAAGTATTCTTTGCTGATTGGGTTTTGAAATTGACTGTCTGAATTTATTTACTGCGCGACTTTATAGTAATTGTTAAAGTTAAATCTAGAATATAGAGTACGAAGATTTTTTCGCTGTTTTTTTTTGCTGCAGTAAATATAAAAAGCTTCTTTAGGCTATTCCGCAAAAACAAATCACGTATGGCTCCAATACCGGACGAAATTGCTGAAGTGTTTGTGGTAAGGTTTATCAAAGTTTCTAATAAGTCTCAGTGTTCCTTCTTCAAACGTAGCATCATGAAAAACTGTGGCCGCTAATCAAACTCTTAAATTTCCAAATTTGGCTTTGAAATCTGTTATGAAAAAATAAAGTTACGGTTACTTTTTAGGATGTTAATAAATGGTCGTTCAGTTCGTTCAAACTGCATGAAATTTCTGATGGTCATGCACTGAAATTTATGGGTTTTGAAATGTTCAACAGATACGGTTTTTTGGATCGTTTTCGTGTATGTCAATTTTATTTCATTTATAGTAACTTACAATTAGGTTTTAGTCTAATAGATTGTTGATATATCTGCTAGAGAGCAGCAAGCCACTTAAATAAATAATACTCGGTACTACGTTTATGCTGTCAATTATGGTCCAAAAAGACCAATTTAATCAATTAGACTAGTTTTTTCTTTTAGATCAGTGTTCAGCGACTGGAAAACTACTGCAATGCTTTAGAAGTTGGTTACAGCAAACACAACAATCCATATCACAATATAATTCATGCTGCAGATGTTACTCAAACCTCCCATTTTATGCTTTCGCAAACGGGTTTAGCAGTTAGTTTTCTTCTGTCAGAATAATTAATAAACAAAGATTAGGCATCATAGACTTTCTTTCAATATGTAACTATTACGGGGTTAAAAATTAACACTTTTTAATTAGGTTTACTTAGTTGTTCTGTTTATTGCTAGCTTCTTTTTTTGTGCTAACTAACTATTGTTTTTATACAGCAATTTTGATTTAGAGCAGTTTAAGTGATTTGGATCTACTGGCAGTGATCTTCAGTGCTATGATACATGATTATGAACATACCGGCCATACCAATAGTTTTCACGTACAATCTGGGTAATCCTTGTTGACGTAACATTCTCTTTTCTTTTTTACAATTTGTACTCGCATTATCTTCAGTATAGGTTAATAATTTTAACAGTTAAGCAAAAAATAGGTGTAACTGTATGCAAATATTTTTTAATCTGCGCGGTATTTTGTGAACAATTTCTAATCAAACGTTTCAAGATAATTTTCAGGTCAAATTTAGCACTACTGTACAACGACAAAAGTGTTTTGGAAAATCATCACGCAAGCGCATGTTTCAAACTCCTCACCGATGAAGACAAAAATTTGTTTGAAAATGTACCGCGCGAAGATTTCCGGTATATACAACTTTCTTTGAAATATTTTCTCTTTTTTGGCTGTTTGTAAGTTAGAAGGGAAGATAATTATAAAAAGATGTTACTAATTGTAGTGTTAATATCGGTAAATAGTAAAAAAATTTTTTCACATCATCATCATCTTTATGGAAAAAAAAAATATATATATATATAACTGACCAATGTTTATTTTACCGGTGGTAAAAAATTAAGATTGCATAAAAACCAACTAACACTGTTACTGTTTTACAAAGACCAAAAAACAAATTTTATTTTTTAGGACACTCCGAGCTTTAGTAATTGAAATCGTTCTTGCAACAGACATGTCGACACATTTTGCGCAAGTTAAAAATATGAAACAAATGCTGACACTTCCGGAAGGGTAATATTAAACTTTTGTCGGAAGAAAAGAATAAGCAAATAAACAAACGAATGAAAAGACAAAATGCATTTTTTTTTTTTTGTCAAATTGTTTATTTAGCTCTCAGTTTATTTGAATAGAAACGAGTGAACAATATAAACACTATTTTAATTAAACCTGTTTTATTTGTTTGCTGTTTTAATGATCAGATAAAATTTCTGCAGAATTGATAAGACTAAAGCGCTGTGCTTGATTGTGCATGCATGTGATATTTCACATGCATCAAAACCATGGGAACTGCATTCACATTGGACGGAAGGTGTTTTGGAAGAATTCTTTAGACAAGGTGACTTGGAAGCTAGTATGGGACTTCCGTATTCACCGTTATGCGATCGCCATACTGTTCACGTTGCTGAATCACAAATTGGTCAACTTTTTTTGTACTCATTTTTAACATTTTCAGTTTTTTTTGAGTGCATCTAAAGAAATAAACCTCAAAAAATTTTGCAAAACTGAATGAAGTTTTTGACTCAATATTTTAGGATTCATCGACTTTATCGTTGAACCAACATTTGTGGTATGCGCAGAACTGTTAACCAAAATGGTCGAACCACTTGTTTCATTTCCATCAGTAGACAGTGTTGCAGGCTCAAATAATAGCAATGAAGATATAGTATTACCAGCAGCGCTTAATCTTAATCAGTAAATTACAATAATCCAATAAATTAATTAATTAATGAAAATTTAATTAGTCAGATGAAGATGAGTGATACCTTAAAATTTAATATAACAAGTTAATTAAAGGTTAAGGCAGAAAAAATGAAAAATATTTTAAGAAGTAATTCACCGTTTGGTGTAATACGAAGACTGCCGATCAACTATGCGGGAAAATTACAAATTCCTACACCATGGTCCGAATGTATGCCAGATAATAAAGTTCATTGGAAGGAACGAGCAATTAAAGGTAAGATTTCACGCTTTTGCGAAACAGCAAAATCATTGGTGTTCCGATAAACAGATAATATTTGCGTAATATGACCAAAATTTATCAACTATTCGATGAAAGTGTTGCTTGATAAACAGCTTTTTTTTTATAAAAAAATGTTTAGGTAGTCAGGTAGAAATCTAAAATGTGTGCATATTAAGCGGAAATTTTATTTTATTTGAAAAGCTAAAATTATTGAGAATTTGCTTGAATACAGCAGAAAATCTATTTTGTCTGAGAATCAATTAATAAACCAAAATTTTATGCACATAAAAATAGGGTATAACATTACACGCGGAAAGTGTACATTTTTGAAATGATCATATTACAAGAGAACTACGACAAATGGAGTGTTCAAAGAAGGTAAGGAAATGCTCCGGCACCAAACACCAACTCGTTTTTATCGCTATATTTCATATCTCTTTAGTAAGGAGCTGTTCTGCTTCGTGTGTTGTCTCCCAGATCAGGTCATAAAACGTAAAAATATCTCAAAAGCATTGTCTCAAGCTGGAAGGGAGATTTCTTCCACTTTGACACCGTTACCAGACGTCTTTACAAGGTTTTTCCTCAAGATTTTTAGAAAGACACATGACTCTGTCATCGTCTATGATAGTGAAACTAGACTCAGCACTCTAGCATTTTGATCAACATCAGCTTCACCATATTCATTTGATATCAAAAACTTTACAAGATTATTTTTAGCCTTAGTAACCAAAAACTAATACTGTGATTGCCTTAAACGAAGCTTAACAAATTATATGTACTTAATATAGGCGAAGTTCTTAGCAATAACATTGTCTCTGGGACTTCTTTAATGCTACTAGCAAAAGGTTTTACTTTTTTTTTCTTCCTTGCACTGAAGGTATTTTTCCAAGCATTTTTTGCACTGTACTGCTTCATCGCACACCGATCACCAGTTAACGGGTAACAGCGCTTCTTCAATGTCATCTCCTCACAATAATTCTTGACACGTGTTGTGGAAGTAACCCCTGCTGAAAAAAGATGTTCAAGAAGCTATTTCTTGTGCAGACGTTTTTTCCATTTCTACCATTCCCTGATCAATGGGCTACAACAAAGAAAAGGCTTTTGATGGACGAAAAGTGGCGTTGAAGCACAGTACCGAATTTAAAAGCTCTGGGAACAGATGTTTGCATTGTCGACTAAAGGCAGCACCCGATCCTTTTTTCCAGTTAGGTCTTGTTACTTTAAAGCTTGCAGTGAAAAAAAAATTTGGAACTAGTTTCTTTAAAAATTTGGGTATCTATTTGCGCGCTTTTCTGATTTTAGCAAACAACAAGAAGATAAAGACCTTTCAAATTCCTAAAACTTCAGATTTATCGCCACTACATTCTTTACAATATCCTTTGTTTTTCCTTTCTCATTGAATTCTTAAAAATTTGTAGCCAGTGCTGTGTCTGCTGATAACCTCTCTCCTCGGCTTCCATATTTTCATATTTCTGCTGTTTTCCACATTTTGCAAGCCACTTCAGCTGACTCAAAAATTCGAATTATTATACAGTTCTTCATTAAATCACAACGCTTTCTTACGAAATATAAGACCAGAGACCGGTCATGCAATGCTACGTGCTTGATTGAAACACACGTATAATGGATCGTTCAAATGTTAATTTTAGAATGTCTTAGAGGTTCTTTTTTTTTTTTTGCTTTTCAGTCATATTATATTAACTGTTTTGGAAAGCAGAAGATGTCTATACTGTTTTTTCTCTCAAATGTTTAAAATGTTTAATATTAGAATTCATTATTTCTGCGCCAAGCTAGATGTTTTCACCTCTCTTTAAATTTTGAATTCTGCTTCTTTTATCATTCACTAAATTCACAGCACGTTTTTTTCTCAAGGCTGGTATTTCTAGCACTGATATGGCACTTAGAAGTACCCGAATTAAGTGGATAATAGTAGTTGATAAATAATTTAAACTACTCAGCAGAACTACTTTTAAATCAAAAAAAAATTGAAGGAAGGAAGATCTAGAATAGCTGAAAAACTAGAAACGCCTGCAATATATGCAATAATCTTTGAAAAGACTGCTTTGGAAAGCTTGGTCTAAATAAAAGAAATATGAGACGTAAGTTTGCAGACGTAAGAAACGTTCTTCAATATACGGTTCCAAAAATATTTCGGCAAGAATAGTTCTGTCAAACTCATAATAATACATTATGATTATGGCCAAGGAGCTGCACACTGTAATCGCTAGTGGACTGCTAAAGTTTGTGAAGACAATTTTTCAGATGAATCTGGAGGGGAGAGACTGCAATTCCAGTCTTTCTTCTATAGGTTTTAAAGAATTGAAACGGTTGATAAAAATGGATCTGACAAAATAGAGGTTCTGCTGTTCTTTCAAACTGAGACTGAC